CACAATACTGTAGCGGTTTGTGCATACAACGCACATCACAAAAAAACGCACACGAATCTCACCATCTTGTCCGCGCCTCGAGTTTGGTGTGCTTTCAAAAGACCTGGAAGAACAGCAGAATGTCTGAGGCTTGATGCCAATTTCAAGCCGGTTTCATACCGGACCTTCAAGCAATATATGTACCTTGGACCATCTTGGACCTCTGGCTTGGGCTTTTGTGTTATGGGACGTTGCAGATTTCTGTTGGTGCCAAGATCGATGTTTCTGGTGGAGTCGTCTCTTGTGGTGCCATTTTCACCGGCCCCCGCTGGGGTCCGGCCCGGTCAGACCGTGGTCTCAGAATGAGGGGACCCCAACACATTGGTTTTTGGAGCAATTAGGCAGTTGGAGGAGTTCTTGTCAGGCCACAGTAGCTTTTGTTTTGCTGTCAGCAGTAAACTCTTGTTCAGTGAGAGTCACCTGCCGCGTCACCTGCCGCATGTGCATGCGTAACCCAGGTGGCGCAATTTGAAGGCCATCGAGCCGACCGACAGGTGCGCGAGAATAGCACGCTCTGCGCGGAGGTGGAAGGGCTCCTGGCCTCGGTCAGACCCCGCCACCGGGTCGCGCCACAACGCCCGGGTCGAGAGTGGTTGGGGTCGCCACGTCGGATGCGGCAGGAACGCGCAGTTCCTCATCCTGGAAGGGCTATTGATTGAGGCGACCGTCGCGACCGTCTCGCGAAGTCGCCGTGGTTTGCTCGATCGGCGGAGAGTGGTGAAGGCCTCGGCGTCTGGTCGTTTTGTGGCCTCTTCGGGGCGTGTTCTCCAAGAGGAGACTCCCTCAGTTCCACTCGGCAAGTTTGACATGGGATGGGTCAAGACCGGAAGGGTGGTTGTCCAGCTTGTCCATGTACAAGTTACTTTAAGTTTCTGAGGGGTGTACTGTGGCAGCCTGCCATTTCTCCGCACAAGCTTCGGCAGGCTCAGGTGGCTCGTGAGATGGTGGAGAGGAGCCGTAGGCCGCATGGGCGGCCGGACCTGATGACCTTGTGGAAGTGTAAGACCATTCTGGTAGGACTTTTGATTCATCAAGGGTCTACATATCGACATATGTTTGTGCATGTTCGTTTGCTGGAGCTGATGTGAGGCGAAATTTGCCAACAATCCTCACCAGCATTCCCACAGCGACAGCAGGCCAGGGCCAGGGATTTTGGGGTGTATGTTGGTACGAGTTTCGCCGTTTGAGATGTGGATTTGTGGCCCCCCCAAAATCGAAAGACCATTTCCTAGTAGCGATGGCCTCCAACCAAGTAGCGATGGCCTCCACCTCTAATAGCTTTTTGTTCCTATAGTAGTAAGGCCAGGAGCTACTAATAGCGTCCGAACGCTCCGTTCGTAGCGATGCCCTAGAGAGGCCCCCCCCACGTGTCGCCCGGGAGTCTCAAATCGGCGTTCGCTTTTGCTCGAGGTACTGAGTTCTCTCCCAAGCGCAAGGTGCCATCGGACGCGGGGGGGCGAGGACCGACGCTTCGGCGAGCACGCGGTGAACTGGTCCAGGTCGGTTCAGGTCGCGGATGAAGCCCAAAGAACTTGAAAAATCGGAGCCTGGAAGAAGTTAAGACTGGACAAGCTCCCACGAAAACGTTCATATAATCGCTCGAGGTCCAGGAACTTCCTGAAACCTTCAGTGGGGAACAATCATGTAGCAATGTAGACTCGATCTTGATTATATATTTCACCCCCGCGAAGCCTGAAGAGGTTTTACAATCCATGTCTGGGGGAAGTTTCTATGAATCAAGCGTCAATATCAGAGAATACCATTGGATGTCTCTTCAGAGGTGGTCTCTCGAGGGACATGTGGCCAACTAAACTATATATTATAAGAGTCTAACTGGACTTCGAAGTCCCTGGCGCTTCACCTGGCGCTTCCCATAGGTGGCAGGTCCTCCGCTCACAGGACCAGCACGAAGGCGCGTAAGGAATGGACACCGACGCGGAACAGACGCGGACGGGATCCACTTGGAACCTTCTGAAAGAGGTGGATGATGCTGCGTGACAACAGATCAAAAGCCTGGTTGGTGAATTCCGCATGATTGGAGACGGGGACTTCATTCTCTTCGGTCTCTCGTGCATTTTTTGTCGGAAGTGGCACACCTTCAGACCAGGTTCAGAAATGTTCAGAAGGCCTTTCGCTTCAGAAGGCAGTCCTTTGGATGTCCAGTGCCACTTTCCACATGTTTGGCCCTCGAAGCATCTGGGATGCCGCCACGTCGACGTCCCCTGGGATGTGTTTTTGTGGCCAACTGAGCCGCCTTTCTTTCGTCCAGTTGTGGGAAGCTCTCCAGCCAGGCAATGATGGGCTTCTCGTTGTGCCAGTTTGCCCAACGAGGTCGAGATTTGCAAGGCTCCCGGCGCCCCAGCTTGCCCCAGGAAATGAGACCATTGTCAATTGTTCGAACCAGCTCTGACTCCCCCAGAATCACACCTTCCCCCCCGAGTCGTTTCGCGTGGACAGCACAGCGGCGCAGCGGCACCCCGCCGTTGGTCGTGCTGGATGAACGGTGGAAGAAAGACATTGGTCGCGTAGCCGGTCGCGAACCGAACGCTGTCGCTTGGGAAGGTGCTTTGAGCTTGGTTTCTTTGAAGTGTGGCACCATCCTTTATCCTATCATGAAGGATAAACGCCACAGCCATAGGAAACCTCCATGTCCATGTACTCAACGAATGAACAATGTTTATGAGTTAGCAAGGAACAAAAAAAATCATTGCACTTTGACTGTTGTGAGCACGCCTTCATTGACATGGAAAATCCACCAACAGATCTAAAAAACATCTAAGAATAATTTGATGAAGACTGCCGTTTGCCCGGTAAGGCGCAGACACACCTGAGCAACGCGGCGAACGAGCCTTCTCAAATTTACAATCATAATCATTTGGGTGTGGGAGAGAATTATACAATATTTGTAGATTTCCATTGCTTTACCGTTCTATGAATGCTCAATAATATTAACAAGTTCCACATCCCATATTTGCCATCAAAAGTTCGATACTTTCCCGCGCCTACAGTCAGAGTGGATGAGCTTGATTTGCCTGCATCTCGCGGCCCTATATACAGTATGTGTTTCACTTTCTAGCGCTTCACGCAACTCCGCTTGATGGGGCGCCAAGGCAAACAGTTCATTAAACTTGAGGGGGTGTGTATTGTATGTTGCTGAACCAGGTCAGCTGTCAGTTCAGCGACATGGCATATTAATTGTGGGAAGGAGAGGACCCAGAGCTGTTTGATTTTTAAGTGGAGCATAGCGGACTATATACAGACGCGCGGAGACGTGTTGCATTATGCCGGGCATTTCCTGATGGAATGCTCTTGACTGCTGTGTCCGCTGGCGGTGCTAGGCAGCTGGACAGCATGTTGTTGCGTCGAAAAGGTCCTTGGGAGAATTCACTAGGGAGCATGAGGTAGGCAATTGGGGTGGCTAAAAATCACATAACATTCTTTCAGCTCAATTTCAGGTGTCCACGCACTTGGCAGGTGTCCGCACACTTATCATGTTACTGCCGGGTACGGAAACAAGATGAAACTAGCTTATCTATATGTGTACGTATCCACAGTCACAGTTGATCCAAAAGCAGTACTGTACGGAGACTGTGATTTTAGGGGATGTTGCCTCTCCTATGTGGACCAAACTTGCAGTGACTCAAATCCACAGTCCGTCCTTGATTACACCCATGGTGTTTCGCCCCAAGCTGGCCATGTCAGAAACACATAGAAACACCATGGTCAAAGAAAACACATGAACCAGGAGTCACCAAGGGGTGGTTTTTAGTCCCATCCAGTGAGTGGATCATGGGCACCCCTAACCTCCATGGATCGCACCCCTTTGTGACTCCTGGAAAACACCGTTTCGCTTGGCTTTGCCAAAGCACCTTGGCCGCCTGCCCCGGTCGCCGTCCGGCACCAGGCGAGCCATTCGGCCGCCGTCCTCGACCAGCTCGTCGGGGGTGGGGGACACCGAGCCGAGTGGAGATCGAGGAGTCGAGCTGTAGGCTTGTTGAATGAGCATTGCTTCAGCCCGAAGACTGAAGAGGTTTTGCCTGCAATCCATGTGTGGGGAGGGAGGGTTTGGATTCATCAGCATTTCTTGGGAGGCAGGAAGCAGGTCGCAGGAGCGTGCTCGATGACGAGGTCACAGCGTTGATGTAGGTGACGGATCGATCGAAGGGTGACGATCGAATGATCCATCGCGTGCTGGTACCACGTCTAGAGTCTAGACCCGACCGGAGACCTATGCTTTGAGCGTGGATGCCATCAATTGGTGTGATTCCCTATCATTGGTGGAGTGGTGAAGGCAATTCTTTAAGAGATTTCTTGGAACGTGGACGTTGACGAGGGATCCCAGCACAGAAAAAACTGGAATATCACTTGATGCGATGGGGGAACTGGGAAACTCGATCTGATATGAACCTGATTTATGTTTTTGTTTGCTCCGGCAAAAGCAGGGTGTTTTCGCCGGATTCGTTGCATCTGCGGATTTATCGGATTTTCCACGGTCTGGTACGCAGCGAAAACAACAACTTCGAGGGGTTGGGAGATTTGACTGTGAGAAGCACCTTGGTTCATCAGATGAGCTGGTGTACACCCTCCACAGGTGGGTTCGGAAGCTCCATTACAGCTGTGTTTCATTAATGAGCAGTCAGAGCAGTCTATACCGTTTCATCAAGTCTCCTTGCAAAAATGGCTTGGAAGAAACGACTGGTCTTCAGTGCTTGATGGTTTCCAACGGTTTCCACACGTCCAGACACTCTAAAGATAGCACTCGAGTCTGCACTCTGGGACTTTCCCTTCGTTCTTCGCCCGGACCGGCACAAAACTGAACCGATCTGGGCTGGTTACGACCGGTTGCAGGAAGACACTTCCTTCTGTTTTGGTGGTCTTGCTTCCACACATTCTGAGTCAGAAACATGCATAGACCAGACCAGTCTCTCTTCGGCTCAAAGTGTCCAACGATCGCCATGCCAATGGGTAGTCGCGGCTACAATGAAGCGGATGGGGCAGAGGTGCCTGATCTGCCGCAGGTTGCCATCTCCTTCTTGATGTTCATGCAACACTTTCCACTAGCTTGGCTAAGACCTCCCTACAAGAAGCCTGACACCGTCACCTTCTTTGAGGCGGAGGAGGCAGGAAAGCGTCAACTCGCAAGTCTTCTTGATCTCCGATTGGGTCAGCTGAAGTTTGCCAATGCTCAGCAGCTGAAGAGTTGCTTCAAGGCACACTCAGGTCTGGAGTTATCATTTCTTCCTCGTCAGGTCATCGTTTTGATACATCCAGATTTGCGTCGTCTAAAGGCAACTGCTGAAATCGTGCTCTGTCATAGCAAGCCCCGGCGGACTCCTTGGTTTGGCACTGGAAGTCTTTCGGCAAGCGTGCTGCTGACAACAAGCTCAATGCAGAACAATATGAGCTTTTTGGAGTGGCTGAGCATCAGAAACAACAAGTTGTTTGATGTTGTTTGAACATTCCTTGACGTCCACCCCAGAGGACGTCCCTTAAAGGGCCGAACTGATTGCTGATTTCTACAAGAACAACATTAAGTCCAGGGCTCAATTTCAGGATTCGATCATATTTAACTAAATCAATCTGTTTGGGGCAAAGACCGGGGGCTTTGCCATGTGTGGACAATCTGCTCCTGTAGGACCTAACCAAACAACAAGCACCCAGCTTGGGGACAGAACACCATGAGTTGCACCATTGACCCGGTCCTGCTGCGCAGTCCTGCCTGCGCCCGTCGCGCGCCTAGGCAGCTGGACGTGCGTGGTCAGAAAGTCCGACAGTGGCCGCAGCTGGTTCAGGCAGAGTGGCCGACTGTTGTTCTCGGGGCCTTTTTTTCGCTGAAACGAGTTGGGTGCTGGAAGAGAACTCGGCAGCTTCACATGAACTCGGCAGCTTCACATTTCCTACTTCCGCCTTCGACCCTGCCGTTTTCGGGCTTCGTGTTAATAAGACCGCACCGCGCTTCAGGCCACGTGTCCCCAATGCCGCGCCTCGAAGCCGCTTCCGGGGACGCCGCCCGCGGCCGCGGCGTGGCGTTGCAACGGCTGCCGTGGCGATCCGGAGAAGTGCCGCGTGGCGCGGCGTGCGGCGGCCGCCTATAGCTCCGGAGCGGTGAGAGCTAAAGGCACCTTGGAGTCGATGTTGCTCTCCGCGATCAAAAGAGGTGGGACCTGTCAATAGAACTGCTTTCTCAATTTATGTATTTTTTTCTTCTGACCGATGTTTTTCTATGGTCTCTGAAGACTTGTTAAGACTGGAATGTGCCACCACACCTTTTTCATGCTGAACACGAGTCACGACCCCCTGGCCGTAGGCCATGCAGAAGCAGCTCTGCTTTGCGCCAATGCTTTGGCACCTTTGGACTCCGCCGTCTTTCTGGATGCGGCCCTGCGGGGTCGGCGGGCAGGCATCGTCGCGACGATCTTGAGCTTCAGCGCTGAAGAAACGCTGCCGAAGGCGTTGGGAGCTGTCGAAAGTCATTGGCTCAACACTGGCAGAGATTTCAGGCTGATCCGACAGCAGTTACAGGAGGCCAGAGGTGCTTTCTTTTTGAACCCCAGAGATGAGGCCCTCTCACAGGATTTGACCCAACTCCTTCGGCAAGCTCCGGTTTCTTTGCCCCGGCCAGCTGTGCAGAGTGTTTGCTCCTTTGTGTTTTGCAGAGACCTCTCAGAGAACATCCGAGGAACTCTGGTGCTGTTGGGGCTCACCGAAGGGATGCACATCCGATCATGAGCGATTCGATTGATGATCTTTTGTGTGCGTTCGGACGAGAGGGAACCGTTCCCTGCTCAAAAGTATTTGACTTGCTTGACAGTTTCTGACGACCGTTCGATGCTGACTGACTGAAAGGGAGTGTTTTCGCCGGCAAGCGCCACCAAGTGCAGCTCCAGTCAACAAGGCCGTCATCAAAATACGATATTTGATTGGCTTTATAAGGATTTGCAGAAGCTGCAGCTCAATCTTCCAAGCAAGCCGGACGAGAAAGGAACTGGAATTCTCCAGCGACATGTTTATTTTTTATGACAATCACTCTACTGCAAAAAACAAATCCAAGACCTTTCGAGCAGCTAGTGCGGACATCTATCCGAAGCACAACATCATCTCTCACGAGCTCGAGCGAGAAGAGTGATGTAGAGCATTGCCACCGGAAGAGAAAACAGCTCCAGTTCCAATTGAGAGGCTGATGCTTGAAACTGACCCTGTCACCATGTCAGGAGGGCTTGCAGGCTTGCAGTCCGTGCCACTCCATGCCACCCGGTCCACCAGTGCCCGGTGGTCAAGCTTCAAGGTTCACCGGTCTTGACCCTTACAGTAGCTGGTTATCTAACAGTGGACATATTATGTGGACACCGCTTTCCCACCTCACCCGCACCCGCACTCCATGCGCAACCACCGTCGTTCCCATCCATCCGGTCGCGAGAGTTTGGAGCCGCGTCCTGGCCCAGGTCCTTACAGCTCTCTTCATGCCTATGCTGGGGCTCTTGAAGGCTGGAGATGCCTTGCTCAGCCTGCTCAGCCTTTTCGTGGAGACTTCAACGAACTTCCACCCGTCCAACCACCCGCCACGAAATCAACCCCACCAGTCCAGTGGGGTCAGTGGTTCCAAGTGGCTTAACCGCCCCTTTTAGCATCGGCACAGGGGACGGCATGAGGAGGTTACCCGTCCGCGCGCGTGCGTGTGCCACAGCCCTCCAGTGCCGAACTCGCCAGGTGATGGCCTTCATGGCCCTCTTCCTCTTCGACTGTGCCTTCGTGGAGCGCTTCACCTCGGGCATCGGAAACCAGGCGAACCGCGCGGACGCGACGAACGCGACGAACGACGCGGTGAACAAGCGGAGCCGTGGAGTTTCTGGGCCACGGAGGGGGAAAGCAGGTTGCAGGGAAGCGGGTTTTTCTAGGCTTTGCAGGAGCCGAGGGTAGTGGGCGAAGCATCATTCATCATACTTTCAAGATCTTTCAGGTACAGTTTCTTAATGTTTCTTCTGATGCCCCTTGAGCATAAAGCTTTATTCATTGGAAGATGTCATGCAAACCGCATCCAGCTACTGCAAACGCTCATTCCTTCACAGTACCATAGTCGGAGCCATGAGGGGATGATAGGGGATGAATATCAATCGATGTCCCTGAGAGCACTGCCCCTCTCAACACAATCCCATGGACCATCATGAACCCTGAAAAGCACTAGTGCAGCGTTCGAGGGAAACAGTCGGACTCAGGGCGTGCCATTCGACCCGGGTCCATGTAAGTTTTCGGCCTTTCGAGAAGACTTCGTGTCCCCTCCCCAATCCGAGCCCAGCTACTGCTTGCTTGATGCCTAGCTTTCGAGTATAGCAACGGTTCCCAACATTCCAAGCGTCCGCCTCTGGGTGCTGCACTTGCTTAAGACCACACCCAATTTCCACCATCGGATTCCAGCACCTCATTCCAGGACTTTACGTTGGTGCAGCGAGATGGCAGCTGTGGTCAGCAGGGCATCCCAGGGTTGCTAGGGGTAAGCACACGCTTTACTTTTATTTATTGAGAAAACGATCCATGCAGTCTCTATGTTGTGGGTGTGCCAGAAAGAACCTTTAATGTTTAGCGGAACATTCGCAGGTCTTCTTATTTGTCCTATACCAGTGGAATTGCTTCATGAACAGAACTGAAATCCATGGACTGTAGTGGCACTCAAGAAATCCAATCAGCGCATTGCAACCTGAAGATGCTCTGACCGATTCAAGACATCTTGGCTCAAGACCGATTTAGAGGAGATCTCTCACTGATTTGACCAAGTTGGCCTGGAAAGCATCACACGCTTTTGTTTGAAGCACAGAGCACTGCCTGAACAAAGCTTTGCACGACAGCCGAAAGTACTGACACACTTCCTTGGTTGAATTATATATGTGCCGCACCTGCTTGTTTGACGCACCTGCACACAGCACACAGGGCAGGCGACACATGGAATAAGAGAGATATACTGCAGCCCAGTAAGGTTTGTGTCTATTCAGGGCAACTGCCCGAACCTGGGCAGTTTGGCCTCTCCTGGCTGTCATCTAAAGCAGCTATAGCAGTTGACCATCTTTGCTTCGACGACACAACCAGCACGCCGAAGCAATTGAACTGGAAAAACCTTCCTCAGTTTCGCTTCGACCACATCGGCTGCGAACTCCCTCGCCCGTGTTCTTCGCAAATGCTGGCTTTGCGCGGCAACTCCTGGGTGACACCACCCAGGTTGGGCCTCCCGTGGAGTCGGCGTGGTCCCCGCGCGCACCGCGGTCCACGCGATCGAATGGGGAGCTTTGAACGAGCAAGGAGATTGCCAGGAATGTTCAGGAGCTGCCAAATAGACAATGGCTATATACTGTAATGATAAGGAAAGCACAACCAAAAAAACCTGCCCTTTTTCCGCCTCCAGAGTGCCGGCTCGAATATGTATATATATATATATATCAAACATGTGTGTTTTGTTGATTTAAGGATCCTTCAATTCCAGTTTGTGTAGATCACACATCGACACATCGACAAGGCATAGAAAAGACAATCTTTTTGCCGGATCGTGAGATGTTTGGTCGTCAGGCTGGCAGCGCCACCTTCTGGCCGTCGCAGAGTGGTGTGCACTGCGCCACTTGGTCCTGGCTTTACATGAATCATATATCATATATCTTTGGTTCTTCTTCCAAGCTTCTAACTTTCAAACGAAGGGCCATCTTTGCAACATTCATACCTCATTCCTTTGTGTGGTTCTCTCTTGTTCTTTCCACTTGTTTTCTTTGCCATCTCCCACTTTCAGTACTTCCAGCTCTCCTCCCTATAGTTTCCAAGAGGCTGGCGAACTCGGGCGATGACATCGCACGTGCGCCCAGCTGGAAAGACACCCTGAAGGCGGGGCGTTCTGCCGCTGTGTCGGGGGAGAGGCTGGGAGGGCCGATAGTGGCCACACGGGGCGGTTTTTCTTGATGTCTTTTTTTTCCGTTTTTATTTCCTCCTTCCCAAAGGGTAGATGACCTGGAAACTCGGATGTGTCGGGTATGAAATGAACGGGGCTCTGAGATGGTTCCAGAAGATGCTCAAAGCACTTGTCGGTTTTGGCAGGAACACTGTCCGACACAAGGGACTGAGGTCCAGGACGGGACATTGGAAGTCCGGACGGGACATGGCAGATCCCATTCTGAAACGGTCTCACTGGGAGCTGGAGCCTGGAGCCTCCTTTTTTTGGCTCCTCGACAGAGTGCCTTCAAAACGCCGTCAGGGTGCTGCCTTCTGGGCCAATCCCAACCACTGGGACAAGGCGGGTTGTTCGACTTGCTCGGCACGTGGCGCTGTCATGGGAGTCGACCAAAGACCATAGAGTCGCTTTGCTGGGTCGACACCAACCTGTGCTGTGTTGGTAGATTGGCCCACACCTTCTTTTTTTCAAATTCTTATTTGAGGTCCCTGAGGCGATCCCATGGTGGTTCCTTCTTTGTTTCTGAGTCTGGGGTGAGGTTTGGACCTGCATCCCATACTAAGATGACGGGTGGTCGAAACCAAGAGCAGGGGGAAGGAGCAGTGGGCCACTCTGGTTTTGTATGAGGCTTTGGCGCTACTAGTAGGGCGAAAGAACTCCACCGCGTAGTTCGCAGAAAAACCTTCCAGTTCCAAAGTGGCGGTGATTAGGTGCCCATTATCCACTCACTTCTGGTCTTCTATTCCACCCACTTACGTAACAGTCCTTTCTTTTTCCATTTGGTCGACAGATGTACGCAGAGGCTTCGTTGTGGCCGTCATTGGCAGGTCCCACAGTCTCTGAAGATGAAGCTGATCTTCATTTTTTTTCAAGGTGGTGCCTTGGCTGCCAAGGCAGAGGGAGAAGTTCCAATTACGTATTAGCTGTAGCTTGGGGGTGTCCTATTACCTGTAAGAGTCGGTAAACCATTATTCCAGGAGAAATGATTTTACGAACCCCACTGTTACACGGAACGGGATATATCATATCCAAACTGTAGCGACCACCCAAAGAGTTTCTTCAAACGCATGGAACGTCCAGAAATTGAATGACATCGGGCTCCAAGTCAAGGTGACTCATGCAGGACATCCTGTACCACCATGTAACCACCTGGAACCGACCCCCAAACAACACGTTGCTGGTGATTCACCTCTCATCACTATTTACTTCAAGTAGGTGTTCGTCTTCGCTGCATCTTCTGAGAGTTTTTCGGATGCCACGGTCCATGGCCGGCCATGGGTCCTCAGCCAGGTGGGCACCATCGGAGGCTACCGTGGCCGTGCGGCCTTTGCCCGGAAGAGTGGCTTGAAGCCCTTGATGAAGCGACGGGAAGAAGCCCTGGTGTCTCGCTTCAGAAGCCCAGCTGGTGGCTTTTGTCTGAACATCGGACTGATGTCTATACAGTGACATCGACATATTGTTCCGCACATGGGGGGCAGAAGCGTTTTTTCTTTCTTTTCCTGCACGAAGGATGAATCAGGACGAACCGACGAACATCTGCTCAGCTGATTCTTTTCGTGAACGGACGAGCAACTGGACACCTTCAATGGAGACACTCTTCTGCCGCCGCCTCGTCTCGGCGAACCGCCCGGTCCGCGGGTCCCCAAAACCGCTTCTGGAACGCGGAACGCCGGGTGGATCAGGTCACCCGATCCCGAAGCGGTTTGGGACCGATCCGTTCGATCCCGGGGGACCGAAGGGATGAGCCGCGGCGCACGCAGTTCCGTACTACGGCGACGGCGAATCGCACAGGCGGTGGTGGACCTGGCCTCGGAGGTGCGGGGCCGAGGGGCTGAGGGCCGGCGGTGTGAGGCGGTGTGTGGTAAAAAAAAAGGAAGACCAGATGACAGATGGGGCGAAGGTGTGTTGGTGCCCAAGCACGGCCCTTTGGCCAAGCTTTGCCCTTGGAGACCGAGCCCAGAGCCGGAAAGTCCACTGCTCCGATTCGAGCGGTCCGTCGATTTGCTCGAGGTGACCGGTGACCCGAAGCGGGGGCCAGGTGAACTACGAGAAGTTCCCGAACGTTCAAGAGAAGTTGCGAGAGGCACCAGGCAGCGACCTGCGTGCGTAGCCGAGCAGCGTGGGCAAAGCGCTGGGCACGGTTTTTTGGGATGGATGGTCCGTTTTGTTTTTTGTTTGCCAAGGAACAAACACTTCACAGGTCAAGAAGAAGCGGCCATGACCAGATGAGCATTGTCGAGATTCCAAGAACATCTCCAGATCAAACAAGTGATGTTGCTGACACCTGCTGATGCGGCATGCGAGAGTTGCCCATGGTGATTCAAGTTCAATCCTAAAAGGCTGCTGAAACTGCCATGTAGACAAATTATTCTCAGCAACGAGCAGTACAACCGGTCATGGGAGTGGGTTTTCGTCACAAATGATCAACTTCTGCTGAAGTGATCCAAGGTTATATAATGTTATACAGTTACAGTTATACAGTACATATGTTTCCAGCATAAAGGGTTCACAATCTGATGCATGCAGGAAGCCATGCTGCAGCAGTGGTTCTGCCGGTCTACACACGCACACAGCAGGCTGCCTTGCGGTTGGGGGAGCCTGTTTGTTCGGTTGGGCGGCCTGCCACATGGCCATCTTCTCCCGAAGCGGATCGTCTGCTTGGGCTACTCCAGCTTCGTGACGAGATCATCTAGTGATCACCTTGATCTTCAGGGGGCGAGTCTACCTGCACACGTTCAGCTCTAGAGCATGCTAAAGCTATGATGATCTGGAATGTTTCGGGTCACAACTACCCCAGATGGTACATGAATTCAGACTAATGATGTTCGTCGCTCTTCCATCTTGGTCCATCTTGACATTTGCGTTTCCTCAAAGCCATATCCCTGGCCTTCAATGTAGAAGTTATATACATCGACATTTCCCCATGTTGAAGTAAAACTTCGACGTTGGAAGGGCAGGGATATCTTTTTGAATGCTTTTGAAGGCAGGGCTTGGTTTCTTTGGAACGATCTCAGCTTCGGGTGGGGTGGGGACTAACCCCCCAAATCCACCCACCCCACCGGTTCCCGAAACGGAGGGGGCGGCGAAACGGAGCATGTGCCAGGAGCCCAGGTCTCTCCGTCGTCAGACTTTCAGACCCCTTCTGCAGGATGTCAAAGAGCTCCGCGCGACGCTGACTGCTTTGTCGAAGCAGACGCGCGTGCCTGATGTGGTGTTGCTGGTCCGGAGACCCAGTGGCCGATGCTTCGACCGGAAAGTGTTTGGGGTTCATGGCTGTCCATGGCGGGCCACAGATGTCTATGGGAGTCCATGGATGTTTTCGAGTGATTTCCGACATCTCTGGCATGCGATTGGATGCTTTTAGCCTGGGGATTGAGTCATTGATGTGTGGATCCAAAGCAAGGCACAGTGTACATGTCATGCATGGCGAGCCGAAAAGACGGAGTCACAACCAACATCACATAACATCACATATCTCCATGCCCACAGAGTAGCTGGTGCTGGTCGGGCTGCCTACCAGAAGTAGCTGGGGCTGCTGCTTCCTTGGTGTGTTGGCAGCCTATGGCTGCAGCCTAGGTGGATGATGCTTCGCCCGAAGAGCTAGAAGCTGCAACTCGAGAATGGCCGGATGACCGACTAGCACTGGCCCCTTGGATTCCAAGGGTGCTGTGATGGCACTCGGATTCAGACAGCTTCCTAGGTAGCTCCTCCAAAAGTTGAGATCGCTTTTCGTCAGACTCAACTTTTGATTCAATGAACTTCTTTTCTCAGTCGCTCGCACTGATTTATTTTTATAGAGAATCCACTCACGGAAAAGAACCTTCCTGGCAACTTACTGGGTCATAAACTCCAGGAACGACCAGAGTAAGAAGATCCCCCAACCATCATCTCCACTCTGGCCCCCGCCAACAAGAGACCCTTTCCCCCATGGCCCCCTCGCCATGGGTGCCGTCTTTACCTCCACGTCTCTCAGGTACGGCTCCATCGCAACGTGGGCCCGGCCGGTGCACGCAGCGTGGGCTTGCGGCTGCTGCGCCAGTGGGCGCGAGGCATGAGGACCGTTGAAAGGACGACGGTGAGGGGCAGTGGAGAACGAGTAACTTGTGGTGAAGAAGTTGAGATTCCTGATGAAACATGGTTTGAGGTCTTGAGCCATATTAACCCCCCATAATTCTGTAATTCATTTGAGAGCTGTAGAATGAACACCCTCGACAGCGGCTTGCCGCCACGTAGGCTGTGATGTCGTGGCTTGCCTCACTGACAGTGACGCTGCACCGGACAGAGAGTGGGTCGAGCAGATGGTTGAGGCACAAAGAGAAAGGCGTGGGTCGAAGTCGAATGGGCGGGAAAGCGGTCAGAGGACGTCAAGCAGATCTGGAGTGTCCAGTTGAACGTGGTGCGAAATCCATTCCGAAGAAGAAGAAAACACAGAGTTGGACAATCCCATCAGGATGTAGACTCTACAAGAGGGGGGTTATTTTGTTTGTTTGACATCAAAGCTTCACTCAGAGAAGGCTTTTCACAAAAGCCTTTGGGATCACCTCGTCCACCACTCTATGTTGCATCCTATTGCGGCACTCAAAACATAATAAAATATATCCGCCGCACAAGCAGATGGCTTGCATTGATAGAACGACCACCAGTAGCCAACCCGATGGCCAAGCAGTGCCCTCCAGATGACTTTCATGGGATCAAAGAACCAGCTTGGCTTGAATTGATGAGATGTACCCTCCCTCAGACAATCATGGAAGCTGAGCAGACCCCCCTTTGTAGAGGATTTCATGGTCTTCCACCCGATGCCGTTCTCCACTTCCATGTCATGCATCACTCGGTGCTTCAAAACAATTCGTGTTTGGGGTCCCAAGCTTGGTCAAACATCATTCGTTGAATCCCCACATCGGTCTTGATCCCAACATCGGTCCGGTCAGGTCTGACGTTTTGGTCGTTTGGGGTCCCCACATCGGTCTGGTCTCCTTGGTCTCTCCACCCGATCGGTCCGCCCCGGACCAGGCCGGGCATCTTCTCGGGACCCACGCTCTCGGTGGATCAAAGCCGTGGATGCCCAGGGGGACGGCTGGTCCGGCTGGTTCGGTTTTGGGGTGTGTGGGCTACCCTCCAAACACGCAAATGGATGACACATCCATGGTGTCATAATATGGTGTCCATGGCACATGTTGGAAGATGATCCCTTTGGGATCATGTTTTGTACCAACATTCACATGCCATGGGCTGTACACTTCCATGCTTCGCCCAAAAACCTCCTTCTTCTCGCGGAGACCGGTCTCACCGCGAACTCGGCGACGCACTCCGAGGTGCCACGGGGAAGTTCCACGACCACTTTGGAAACTTGAACGGCCGCTGGTCGTGGGATGATCCCAAGGACGTGCTACTCTACGGATGTCCGGGAAGCTCAGGGACGGTCTGTGTGCCGGTGGAGAGGACAGTGGTCCTAGGTCTCCGGTGGAGGCGGTGGAAACGCATGCGGAGCGAGCATGAGGGACTGACGTCAGGTGAAGTCTTGATCAGTCTCTTGATCAGTCTTGTGTCCTCATTCTTACAACTTCCCTGGTCCCAGCTTGTGGAGGCTTCAGAAGAGGTCCTGATCAGACTCGTTCCGCTCATGCTACCCCAGACCATGAAATCCCTGGCGCAGATCATGTGCCATGACGACGGATGCTCCATCCCAGGCACCTGCAATTTTAGTGTGAACCTCAATTCCATCGACATGGAGCCTTAGCTGCTGCTTCAGCGCATTCAGCAGCGCATTCAGCTTGTCAATTGTTTGATTCACTAAGATGCTGGAACCTTTTCAAGCAGATGTTTGCCGGCTGAAGATGAACCCCGCAGTGGGTGAGAGCATTGTGCACCAGTCGTTTTGATTCATGACATTCACATGACATTCATGTTGTCAGTTCATATGTTTTGATTCGTGATGATGACATTCATGTTTTCTTTTATTGAGGAAATCGTCAGGTCTTGTCCGTCGCGGGCCCAAAGGGCCCGGGCCAAAACCCCCGCGGCCAACCTGGGCCGCGAAAAGAGACTCTGGCCAACCTGGGCCGTGCTCTAAGGAAGAATTTGATCCCATTTTCTCCCGCCTCTGGGCTTTGAAAGACCCGAGGCCGTCAGCGCTCAGCCAGTGTTTTTTTCGGCTTGGGCTCGTGAGGCAGTGGAGTGATGAGGTTGTCATTGAAACATGTCTGTCAGCCCAGACAGTGTCATTCTGTCTATTGCAGGATCTGATCTAATTGCAAATTGTTTCTAGGCTTGCTAAGTGCGATGTTTGGCTCACAGTTGCGGGCAATTACCGTTTGTCGAGGATTTCCTGTGCCACTTTTAGGTGTCCTGCTGGCCTTAATAAGGCGACACCAATCACCATAAGATGTTTTTTTCCCTGCCACTGGATGATTGTGCAAATCCCACTGACCATTTTGGGGTACCGCACTGCAAAAGGGACAAGACACTGACACTTTGGAAGACAACCGGACCACCCAAACGGTCCGCCCATTGCCGGTGGCGAGACGGTCATCGCATGTCATCGGACCACGTCTCTCCACGATACGTCGAGGTCCTGGATTCGAGGACATTGAGTTCTGCTGGCGTCTCCGTGTGGAGAAGAACGTCATGACGAGGTGAAGAAGATGTTGGGCGGAAGACATTGGGAGAGAGAAGAGATTGATGGGACACAAAAACGCACGAAACAACATCCACTAAGAATCCAAAGAGCATGCTGTCCTGACAAAACTGACAAACAACCACGCAAAAAGAACATACTTTTTTCCTTGCTTTCTCCTCTCCAAATGGTGTCAGACTGGATGAGAGATGATGAGAGCTTCTAAAAAAGTCAGAACCCTTTGTACAAGCCAGGCCTTAGGATTAGCCATTGGCAGGTCATCGTTCTCTTTTTCGTCTCTTTACTTTGGATCATGTTTTCCTTGCCATTGTATATACAACAGCCGCAGGATTCGGGATCGGTTCGTTCTTTTTCCTTCGTTCTTTTTCATTCACAGCAGGGCGATGGAAGACGAAGGAACATGGCCCTGAGGAACGGGAAGACATGGGCTGCATGGTCCGGTCTTTCGGCGGTTGGAGTAACAAAGGCAATCAACTTGTCCATCAACTTCATGGGTGATATACCGTTATATACCGTTATATACCGTTAATGAGACACGAGAATGAGACGCTCGATGGGACTGGAACCTTTTTTTACACCTACATTGACCTCTGAAACTGGAACCTCAAACCAGAGAGGTCGACCTCCATACGGTTCCCGTTCCCGTCTGCGGTCGACCTGTCCAGTCGGATGAGTTGGTGGTGGTTGGGCCTGGGGCCAGGCGGTTCGGGCCAGTCGGCGGTTCGGGCCAGTTGGTGAGCCAAGTTACGAGGCCAAGGTACGAGCCTCAAAAGCTGGATGGTGGTCACCGGACCCCCAGAGCTGCATCCGGTTTGGGCTGTGGAAAGGGAAGAAGTCGATGGACCATGCAAACGATCTAGAAGCAACTCTCCTCAGAAACAGTTCCAAAGATGTGTGTCGGTGTGTGTGATGTTTTTGTGCCAGGTACTGTGAGAAAGCGCGGATGTACCATCAGTATGACCATGGACCAGTTGGCCTCTACCGCCAGTTCTGGAAGTATGGCCACACGGAGAGAGCTGCGCGAGAACTGTGGATGGCCGAATGGTGATCTAAGAGGCTTAAACAACATGGCAGTGGCCGAACTCTGCCATGAACTATGGATACCATTGATGTTCAAAGACCAACATAATTGCTGTATCAGATTTTGGAGAAGTGGCCAAACCCATGGTAGATTATTCCCGTTCTGCGTCCCAGGTTTTTCAACCAAAAGCCAAGTAGGCTTTAGATTTAGGTTCTCACAGGTTTTACGAGAAGTATCATTTACCATGTCAAGAACTTCAAGCAGAGAGCGTGAAGGCTTTTCAAAGGTTTCAGCAGTTTTCGTGCGCCAATTTGTGTCACCCGAGCCGTGTTTGGTCTGCATGCCGTGTTCGTACTTGGCATCTATTCCTTCGTAGACATTCAAGTGCAATCTTTTCCAGACATATGCCGCTGGTTTGCAGCAAGGTCATTGTGTATTGGCAAGGGATTATTGGGGCGGGGTTGAGCCATACACATGTGGGATTACTCTACAAAGAAAATCACAGATACTAGAGCTTGTCCATTACACTTGCCTCCTCCCACTCCGACCAACCACATCTGTGGGTCAGTTTAACTCAAGCTCCATGGACGCACTGCTGGCAAACTGTTTTGATACATTTGTGGAACATGCCGGGTAAACATCGGTTGGGTAAACTGACCCCTTGAAGGGTTCCTTGAACGTCGATCTCACCAGATCTCACTCTCTTTGCAGTCATGAAAGTGGATGGACAACTGCCCCCCTGGAAGACGAACCTTCCCTTACAAACAGACAGTTGTCAGTTGTCTTGTTCTACTTGAATCTTGGATCTGGACGGACCAATGGGGCTGCATGGGGCTTCAATTCTCCAGACATGCCCCCAAACCGCCGACCTCTGCAGCGGCTGGGGGTTGGTTCGCCCCACTGAGCCGGTGCGGGGCGACAGGAGCCCATCATGGCGTGGATGCATCCGGACTTCACCTTCCAGGGCTCACGCCCCGTCACAGTGGGCTTCAATGACCCCAGGGATCCGGAGGCCATGGGATGAAGATAGACTGGAGAAGCAGCGTTTCATGGGTGAGCGAGCTAATCGAACTGGTCCAGCTTGTTTTGGTGTATAGCCTAGTATAGCCTAGCTTCGTGTGCAGTGCTTTGGGATTTTAGGGTATCGCTGCAGCGAAGTTGGAGGTTTGGGAGCTGCGACCGATGGCTTCTCCAGAAAAAACTGTTAGGGCGCTACTAGTAGGTATGCGAGCCACCACCAACCTTAACAACCCAACCCAATGATTTTATTCTTTTTCACAGGCTGCTTTAGTTTCTTGAGTGCATTTCAATCTGTGAGCTTCAAACACCGCCTGCGATGTCTCATGGAGGCCCGGAACTTTGACACCTTTGCACGATCAGCAGTACAAGGTGCATCAAGTTGACTGCACCGTCTAAAGAACCTAACCGAGCCACCATTTCCCTGCCCAGAATCTGCATGGAAACGCATGGAAAAGCCATCAATGGTCAACAGCCCCCCCTGTCTCCCCTGTTGTAGAAATGCCTTTTTTGGAAAGAGGAGGCATCTCGGAGGCATTGGCCGACGGGACCGACGGGACGACCGACGGGACCGTCCGACTTCGTTTCGACTCGTAGATCGACAGGTCGATGGGGTCAAAACCGGATGAGAGGCAATTGTATGGGTTCCTTCGGGGGTGACCCCCAACGGCAACGGTGAACCCCAGCTGCACTTCGCACGGCTGATGTACGAATTGAACGCTGCGACCGGAGTCGGAGTGCTGGGCATTGGTCCGGCGACCGGAGTGTCACTTTGCTGCAAAGTCCCTGGGCAGCGGATGCCCATCACTGTGTCCTTCCTTCCCATCGAACTGAGCGGAGTTCAGCACTGCCAGGCATCGACGGAGTGGTCCAGTTTCTGAAGTGGAAGACCAAGCGAGAGCCGCAACGGAGCTGAAATTCGTGGAAGAAATGACTTGAGAACCCGAGGGGATAATGAATTATCGCGGGGCGATAATTCCCAATCTAGGGCGATAATTCCAAGTGAATCTAGTGTTTTGGAATGGTTGGGATTTATCGCCCTAGAAAAACCCCGAACCAATCATTTTTGGTGAGCAGGGGAGTAGGGTCATATTGCAATATATTGCAGGGTCCCGCATGGGCAAGTCAGACCCGCATCAACTCCAGACCCAGAAGCTGCATGTTAAGGTGTTGGAGATACAATGGAATTTGCTTGCAATCATTGGAACAGTGGTCAAAGTGGAAAGCAAGAATTTGATGTTGTGGGGAATCTGGAACACCTTTCTGTCGCTTGGCTCCATGAAGACTCGGATCCGACACATCCCCCCCAAAAAGGACACACACCCGGTGCCGGTGCATGGATTCACGCCCGAAGACGACGCGACGCCTCCCCCCGACGTGGGGTCCAGCCGAGCCAAGGCCGCCCGCTTCCGGTCGGGCGCGCGGGGCGCCGATCACGCCTGGTGGGTGAAAAAGATGCCGATCGGCGCGGTCCACCTGAGTCGAGTGGTTTTTCGGTCCACATGGGTTGGAAGGGACCGGTCAGATCGGTCCCAGTGTCTCGGTGGAAACCGGGGTTGGGGGGGGAGCCCGAAACGGTTGAAACGGGAGCCCTTGGACCGGACTGAAGACATCTGAGGACATCGTTCACATCTTTGGAGTTGCATCATCCGTGGGGGCTCAAAGAATCCTCGCATGGCTGTACTGTACAGAAAGCATCAACCAGTGGTCCTGAAGGTTTGCTGAGAGCAAAGCAAAAAAGCGATACAAATCCTTCAGTGTTTCCATACAAACTTCTAAGGGTTTTGCATATGTTCGCATACGTTGGAGGAGCCTTTCAATGAGCAATGCTGGGCGTCGAAGAGCTTAGCCAGGGAAAGTCACCCATTGACGAGTGGAGGGTGAAGGCTTACTACTTTGCAAGCTTCACATTCTTTGCAAACTGTCCTTTCTAGCATTCTTTATTTTCTTGGCACGAATCCACAAAAGATAAAACCCAGTCAAACGCACTCCTTGGTATTTGTGCAAAGAGGGCTGTTTTGAGCATATAAGCTTCTCTTTGCGAAGTTCGGCGTTCCCAGCGAACCACTGCCTTTGTCCTCCCCCCCCAAAAAACAAGCCACCGACCGCCCCATCGCAAGCTCGGGATGGGAGAACCTCCACCCCTCGCGCCCACTGGGGTGGTCAGAGGGTCAGCGCATGAGAGGCGACCTACGAGCGCTATGCGACGCTGTACTTCGAAGCCGACGGCTTCCGCCCGTCCGAGATCGGCCTGCTGATCGCGGTGCGACGGTTTCTCCAGACGGTCGCGACGCCCCCGTGGAACGCCTTGGCAGATCAGACGAAAAAGGCCCCAGACTCGTTCGGACGTTCCGGGGTTTGAATGGTTTTCAGGCAAAATTGCATTTATAGATGACCTATGTAGAAACACAGATTTCGTGCTGCCTGTCGGGATTACCTTCCGGATTTCCAGGGGTGGATCTTCATGGGTTTAGGCAAAATCCGGCCACCCTGGACCCTGTGAAAAGGCCAGGAGTATTCAACTTGCTTGCTTGGTGGCGAGTGCGATCCCATTTCTGGCTTTGAGTGCTCCTGTGCACCACGATTCCAAAGGCACGGAAGTTCACACCGATTTCCCAAAGCCTAGGGTTCGATGGCACAGTTGTATATGGACAAGATCTCAGCAAATCAATAAGAAGATCATCATGGTTTTCATGTTTGGTAGTTTTCGGCATGAGTTTGGCGGTTCAACGCCAGGCTTCCATTCACTCTTCATGGTTCGTTTCCAAACTCTGGATGTGCTGTGCCATCCAGCTGCACCCTCTTCCAGGTCTGATTTTACGTGGCTTGGCGCTCTGGATGTTCTCCTTGTTGGGCTCTCCGTCCACTTCCATGATGGACGCTGTGGCGCTGGCCGCTTGTGACCAGGATGCTCAAAGGTGGGCGAAGAATGCGAATTGCATGGGGAGTCCTCAACCAAAGTGGGTGTTTGTTCCTGTTTGTTGTGTCTTTCCCCTCAGGCAAATCAATCGGTTTCCTGATTCGTAAGTTAACATTCTTCGATCACCTTCCTCTATGGATTGGTGGTCTGGAAAAAGAAGTCGCCAACTCCAACACCCCAAAATGCCGACGTTGGGAGCCGGCAATGCACAGAGTTTGAGGGAACACTCAAGCTGCAACGCCACCGGGCATTGATTTGACCTCAGCCCTCAGGTGGGGCAATGCTCGAATTTATGGTGCCGTTGGTTGGGGTATGGCACACCTTCCTTTGGGCCTCTTGTTCGACCGTTTTGGCTTCGGCGTGATGTTTGTGTCCTTTGTGATCTCTGCTATTGGGCTCTTTGGGGCTACCTGGGGTATGCCTGAAGCATGTGGCGAAGCTGAGGGTGATGTTAGCCTGCAGTCCATCTTCGGCATTTTGAGGAGAAATGTGGCTTTCTTTGGCAACATTACGGTGCTTGGTGCGGGATTTGCCATGGTCGAAGGGATGCTGTTTCTGCTTCTGCAGGAGATGAAAGCATCAACGCTGTTGTGCGGCCTCTCGGTGGTAGCAACCGTGATTTTTGAGCTGCCAATCTTTGCCAACGCGCAGTTTCTATTGGAGCGATTTGGTACCAGAAGACTGGTGATAGCTGCGCAAGCCGCCTGGGTCGTACGCGCCTTCTTCTATTCGCAGATGTCGGCCGCCTGGATGGTTTTGCTCGTTGAGCCTTTGCATGGCGTGACCTTTGCACTCGCATGGACTGCGGCCATCGATTTCGTGAAGCGCCCTGAGGTTTCGGGGGAAGGCTTGGAAGCATCTGCACAAGGACTCCTGACAGCATGTTTCCATGGTGTAGGTCCTATCATTGGTCTACTTGGTGGCGGTGTGCTCTTTGATTCTCTCGGAGGCCATCAGTCATATCTCATTTTCGCGCTAGGGGTGCTGGTCTCCGGGTGGATCTACTGGATACAAACCTCAGATGCAGAATTGCAGCATAGTCCGTCCAGAGAGGCGATCTCCTTGTCCAACGCGCTGGGCAAGCAAACCCCCACGGCGGAGCCTGAAAGCGATGCCGAGCAAGACCACTTTGCCAAAGCTTGAGACCGCAAGGCACCTTGCAACGTTCGAAGGTGCAGCGACCACCACTGACTGGGCCACTCTGCTGACTGTGCGGGGCACCGCGCCGACCTCGGCCATCGACCCGCCATCGATCCGAAGCGGGAGCCATTCCTCGGCCGTTCGGTGTGCGGGATCCCTTGGCCATGGCCTGTCCGCTTGCCGGACCGGGACCCGCGGGGCGTATCTGCACAACGGGTGGCGACGCACCGAGCAACGGCGTGCGGGAGGTCGGTTCCTGACGCCGGGTTAGTCCAGATGTCTGAGTCCATCTTTGCAGTCGTCCAAGCAAGGGGCAAAGAGAAAAAGGCAGTTCTTTCAAGGCAGCGGCTGGGGAAGTCTACCAGATGCCAGTCCGCCTCAGAAAAGATCGGGATGCCCCAACCCAAGGTTCACATATGCCGGGCTTTACATGGCTTTACACTGCACACATCTGTACACCAAGCTTCACATCAAAGTGCCAAATTTCTGACAAAGAAACGATCTCTTCCCCACAAACAGTACTTCATAATATACTTCACTGTGATGTCTTCGGAAGGTGAAGCGGAGCAAACCCATGGGACACCTGCTCCGGTCCGTCGTCGGCCAAAATTCGCTGAGGAATCCCCGCCTCTTGACAGATGCCGCGTTGGATGCCATGGATTGTGCTGCGCATGCACGCAGTCTGGTGGGGCACTCAGATCTTCAGAATTCTCTTGGTGTGAACTGTCAAGTGTCTCTAGATGAGTTGAGAAGGCTGAATGGCATCGCTACGGGCTTGATGGGCGTCTCGAACGTTGTCACCCGCGCCTTCGCGTCTTTGTCGACAGCGTGGTTTTTTTCGTCAGGGTGCCACGTCCTTTGCCTTGAGCAGTATTGGTGGCTGCCAGGATCCCAGGTGCGAAGAGATCTGGAGATATCGTTGAGTCAACGAACACGTTTTTCTTGTATATCGCGTGATATCGTTGGGTCACTCCGAGAGTCACTCCATAGTTTGTCCTTTTTACTGAGCGTTCATCCGATGTTGACCCAAGTTGTGCCAGGTTTGAGCAACCAACTGGCAGATGTTGGCAGGGTTTTTGCACCTCTTTGACCCAAGAAAACATCTTTATGCCGTCTGATGGGTCACTCGCTCACACCGAGCCTTCGCTACACACGCGAGCGCCATGACTGAGAATTGGATACCCAGGCTACAGCTATGCGATGCAAGTGACTGAAGAGGAGCTGAAATGCACTTCCGTGGTTCCTGTCGAACCAGCCTCTTGCGTGTTTTCCTCAACCCACAGGATGGATGGTTCAAGATGGGTAAAGTTGAACAGTCAACCAACAGTCATTTTTGACCAGCTGATGACGCTTCAATTGAACCAATCATACGCATCCAACCGCTTCCGCTTCATCTTCTCTCGGCCTTGCCTTCAAGATGCTCGAAAAAAACCCAGCGCCGCCGGAAATTCCGCACAAAATCCAGCACTCCAGTTACTTCATGTTTCATTTTTCAGACCAAGCAGTTCAAAACCACGTGGTGACCATCGCCACCCATGTTTGGGCCACGCAAGCAGTTCAAACACCCAAAACTCATTGGCCGCCTCTTTTCATATGATTTTGTTGTTTGCTTGGCAAGGACTATGCTCATTTCAGAGAGAAGGGCTTGGAGAGCACCTGCAACTTTGGGTCGGGTCTCCCGATCGATTGATCTGTGCGGGGCTTTTGGGGTTTTCAATCCTTTTTTCCATGCAATGCTTTCTGAGCCGGAACGTATGCTTATACAAATAAGACAACACGGCGTACATATCAAGTCCACATGCTTGCCTTCAGTTGCCCAGAAGCTCAGATACTGGAATGGACGCTGATGTCTTCTTGCAGAACTGCAGAGGAGAAAGTGAACCTCGAAAACATAAACAGACAAGGAACCGTAGTTAGATAGACTAGACACCTGACGATGCATCTGAATGCCAAAATGTTTCATTTTACTTTTCGCACATTTTAGGTGGACGAAGTAGACTGCACAGCTATCCACCATGCAAAAGATGAACCAGTAGCAAGCCAAGTCATGAACAGAAGGACTTCAATAAAGTACCGTTAAGATGATGAACCTGAGCACTTTTGCGGGTGAAGGGGGTAGATTGGTGCACACTTGTTGGCAAGTGTTTTGGGCAAGACTGCAATGCTTCGCTTGTAACTGTCGTGTGTGAACACTCCTATGCCCACACTTCTACTATCAGTGGCTTCTCAGCGTTGGCACTGTGTAAGGGTCACCACAATTCTGCATGCTACAATGTCAAGTGAAGTGTGTGAAATGAACTTCAGTGTGCTGTGCTGCAACATCACAGCATTGCTTGCATTGGACGCCGCATGCTATTTTGCTGCGGCAGCCATGATAATATGCAATGCAAGGATGATTTAACATGAGAAGATTTCACTGCAAAGCGCTTTTCCGCTTTTCCTAGCTTGAAATGGTCCAAGGTTCTTGATTTGGGACGCCCTGCCGCATTACGACTTCTACGTGATGCAACCATCGAGCCGGCCTTAGGCCTTTAGGCCCTTTAGGCCATTCACATTGTTCCTCCAGTTTCTATTCTGACCCTTCCCAAGTACGAGGCTTCACTGAAGGTTTTGAGACAGATGAGCCTCCACACATCTCCACACCATCCAGTGGCAAAAACACTGAGTGAACCACCTCACATGCGGCCTGCTCTCTCGCCGTGTTCCACTCAACTACCGCGCCATGTGGGGCCGCTTGCTTTGGTCCATTTTCAGCACACCGGGGTGAGTCGACACTCCCCGAGGCGCGAGAGTTGCCCCTTTGGCCTCTCTGGCGGCCCCCTGCACCGAGATAAGCGACGGTTGGCAGCCATGGACTGAGCTGAAGTCCTCCGTCTCAGCTCCGGCTCGGAGGTTTTGGATGACGACAGGTGGCCAACGAGATCTCAGAACGTACTGTGTAGGGATAAAAAGGATGACTTGCGGTTGACTGGCTATCGTAGAGCTGCTAGATCTTCCATGATCTGCAGCAGAGACTCTGGGCTTGAAATCAATGAGTCGGCTCAGTGACACTCCGAGGTGGTGGGTGGGAGTGGCATCCTTAGCTGGAGATTCCGCTTGGGAATCCGCTTGCGAGACAGAGAGAGGAGTTTCAGGCTGTCCGAGTCCAAAGCTTGATCTGGGTCATGAAAGACTCAAGTGGCCCCAGAATGTGCTGTGGATGTCGTTCTCCTTTTATCATCAGTACTGTGTTCTTGGGGGCTGTTGACACCCCGCTCCCGCGGGCGCATGCCGCATGGCGCATCGGTGCACCTCCTTCCGGCGCCACTAGGTGCGGTGAGCTACGTGGGTGGCACCACGTTGATTCCTGCGGCCATTGAGCAGCCCGGGGCACCTGGGTGAACCGAAGGAGAGGCGGCAGCGGTCGGCGGCACCGGTCGTTGTGGAGTGGCTCGGCGGCGCGCCAGACAGATTGATGCAGATACTCCGGGAAATACGTGACCCTGCCACCAAGTGCAACCATTTGTGCAACCATGTGTGCAACCTCTGAAGGTCAGGGACTCGTCCCACAAACTCCTGGACCGTTTGTCGCGACAAAGCTCATCAACAGAGCGACAGAGCTCCCCCGTCCTTGCTTCAGCGTGGGCGACCCTGAGGCTATGGACCTCCTTGGGGATGGCACCTGTGGGTCAGGGACTGTCGCGGTCTGAGAGGGGGGGGGTGGCTGAGAGCAATCCCTCGTCAGAGGCCAAACAGTGTATGTACGTGTAAAGAACTTATCGATCCTTTTTTGGGTCATACCCCAGCCAGTCGTTGGGGAAAGAAAAAGAACACATGACCGTCTGGTGGTTGAAGATCCCTCGACTTCTCCCCCATACTATATTACTGGGTACCTGGTCTTGTAGAAAGTCGTCTGGATGCTGCGTTTACATTGGGGTTAGATGCAAGATGGACCAACACAGAGCTGATGACCGGTGAAGACGTGAGCCCACCGGATCCCCTCCCGATCTCCTCCTCCCGATCTCCGCTGTGCAGTCATGCTGCTGCGCCGTCGAGGCGCGCAGTCACTGAGCTGTACCTCAAGGCTGTGCGATCCGCCGAGTCCTTAATGACTGACGGACGATCAACCGGGACGACGTCCGACGTGTCGTGACGTTGTGTCGTGTCGTCGTGACCTCGGGTGAATGGATTGATGCGCTTCCAATACACACATGGGCTGCACATGATATATTGTTGTATGTTGCATCACATATGTTGTATATATGTTGAATATAGCAATTAAATTTGTTCTTGCTGAGTTTTGATGCTATGTTGTATCTGTGCTTCCCCCCGCACCAGTTGCCCTCCCGTGCTTCCTACGTGCTCTACCCTCTCTGCCAAACCGGCAAAACCTGACTTCACCCTGTTCCGAACCACCCGGTGTTTCACGGGAAAACGATGGAAGCTCCCACTCGATCTCTATTTTGAAGGTGCTGTGCTGTCCTTCTCGCGATCCGGAGCCGCGAGCTTTCGCGGAGAAGCGGAGCCGAACCATTGAGGTTCTTGCCTTGGAGCCGTACATCCCCAAGGCCCGAGTCGATGTACCGATCCGGAGGTCCAGCGTCGCCTTCGGAGTGAGGTAACGAGGTGTTTATTGAGCAAGTGAGGGAGGTTTGAAGGCCGGGTTTCCAGATTCATCCGAGACATCAGGCTTAGCATCACGGGGTGGATTGATGTGGATTTCGCAGCTGATGGAGATTGATCAAAACTCATCCTATGTTGCCAGGGCCCTGTGGATGGAGATGCAATCAAGCACTGAGATTCCGATCAAAGACCCGTCCATTTGACTGCCGGAAGCATGCAACCTTCGCTATATCTACTCGACTTGGGTGGTGGGATAACCCAAGTCACACGAAAATGCCAGTGGCAATGGCCCATTGCTCAAACATAGAGTAACTGTGTAACTGAAAGGAGGAGTTTAGAGAAAACCTGCGGCATCCTCCAGCACCCAGTCAGGGTGGGTTATAGAATGTTACAGACGACCT